AGGGGGAAGAAGGAGGAGAGAAGGAGGGAGGGAGGGAGAGGAGGAGGATAGGGAGAGGAAGGGAGAGGAGAGGAGAGGGAGAGGAGAGGGGAAGAGAGAGAGAGAGAGAGAAGAGAGAGAAGAAGAGAGAGAGAGAGAGAGAGAGAGAGAGAGAGAGAGAGAGAGAGAAGAGAGAGAGAGAGAGAAATTACGAATAGTGCCCACACGAAATAAGGGGAAAAATCACCACAATCGCCGTTCAAAAAAACTAACCCGTCCCCTCTCCCTTTCTCGCTCCTCTCTACCCTCTCCCCCCAAAAAACTCATACACCCACGCCCTACACCTCCCCCCACCCACGCCCTCCGCCTCACCCACCCCGCCCTTACCACAACATCCACGCCCTCCCCCCCCCCTCCTCCGCCGAACGAAGCAAGTGGCCATAACGCGCCCGAGTTGGCATTACCCGCAGCGCACCAGGCACGGCGATGCTAAGTGATGAATATGGGCCGCGGCTGAAGCCCCTCTTGATGAATTCTTGATGGCACACTAAAAGGCGGCTCATTCGTCATTGCCGCCGCGGGCTGACCCTCACTTTAAAAGATTTCGTCGGGGCGATAAAACGGGAACGACATTATGAGAGAGGGTAGAGCGGCCGAGTAGGTGGAAGGAGGAGGGGGTGGGAAGGGAGGGAGAGATTAGGGGGAAGAGGGGAAGGAGGGAGGGAAGGTGGCATCGGATGTGGGAGTGAGGATATGTGTGTATTCGTCCGTACGTACGTGCGCATGCCTGCGTGTACACCAAAACCTCGACCCAATAAAACAGCTCCTTCGACTAACAGTAAAGAAGCCCCCCTCCCAACCATACGTGCGAACAAACCCTCTCCCCTCCCCCTCCCCCTTCCCTCCTCCTCCTTCCTTCCTCCCCCACAACACTTAATTCCCTCCCCACACCCCCCACACCGCCCGCCCGCGCATCCAGCACCCCATCCGACCAAACAAACACCATCTCAAATTGGAATATACAACAAGTCGCGCATTCATTACTCCGAGGCCGGGGCGCCGCGAGCGAGACATAAACTGTTAATGAATCCGGCGTTCGCATATCAACGCCATTGTGTCATGCGTTCTGGGGCTCGTGAATCCTGGTGGAGTAAGAGGTCCTATTAATACCTCTTGGCCTCAAGACTCGTTTGTAATAGGACTTGGGAGATCAGGCAACTCAGAGGGGGCGGGTGATAGAGAGAGAGAAGAGAGGAAGAGAGAGAGAGAGAGAGAGAATGGAGGAGAGAGAGAGAGAGAGAGAGAGAGAGAGAGAGAGAGAGAGAGAGAGATGAGAGAGAGAGAGAGAGAGAGAGAGAGAGAGAGGAGAGAGAGAGAGAGAGAGAGAAGAGAGAGAGAGAGAGAGAGAGAGAGAGAGAGAGAGAGAGAGAGAGAGAGAGAGAAGAGAGAGAGAGAGAGAGAGAGAGAGAGAGAGAGAGAGAGAGAGAGAGAGAGAGAGAGAGAGAGAGAGAGAGAGAGAGAGAGAGAGAGAGAGAGAGAGAGAGATAGAGAGAAAAAAAAATATGCAATCCTCTTCAGTCTATTGACTCAGGTGGTGAATAAAAAAAGGACATAACTGGGATTGTTGGTCTGTTTGAATAAGGTCAATAAAGTGACTTTGGCTAAGGTCACACAGTGAACTCGGGGTTATCGAAGACACTCGGAGAAAAAAAAATATACACGCGTGTTTATGAACGATAGGCAGAATATATTCCACATTAACTGAAGTATCCCACACTTAACCCGGAAGTCTTGATATATTAGCAAGCATTATATATACATAAAAGCACGACGGCTGTGACCAAGAGGCCATCACTCACTCGCTAAGTGCTGATAACACTACCGATTGCTTTGGAATCAGTCAAGCACTTGCAAGCAAACAGACCGGCAGACAGAGCGCACTTGTCTTTGGGTCAGTAGCTAAGCCTCTTGTCTGCCGCGTGGCCTTGAACTGTTAATGTTGCAATGCTAAATATTATTAGTTGTAGGTTGTAGTATATGGATACTGGTAAGGGGGGGGGGTAGGAAGGATGGAAGATAGAAAAATTGAATATCCTATCTTTAAATATAACGTGATCATTGGTGGGGGTGATATATTAAAAAAACACGTTCGACTTTCATAATTGTGATCAAGTAAAAACGGAGAAAGACGAAATGAAAAAAGAAAGAAATATATAACTAAAAAAATAAACTAACGAGAAAAATAAATACCCTTTCTTTCCAAAATGCAAAAAAATAAACAGGAAAAAAAAAACAATATTTTTTTTTTAACCAACAACAAAACACACACACAACACACACAACACACACACCCACACCACAACACACACACACCACACACCACACACACACACACACACACACACACACACCACACACACACACACACACACACACACACCACCCTACCCTCCCTCGAAACACCACACACAAAACACCCGTATTTGTTATTCCCCGAAAAAAAATATTAAAAAGCCATAAAACCCGCGAGGATTGAGGAGCCAACCGCTTGCAATCCGCACTCGCAAACGCTTCATATATATGCAAATGAGATCCAGTTCCGGACGCGATGGAAGACAAACAACAACTTGCAAGACACGCGCAGATACCGGGCATGTAGGCCTATTCGTCCCGCGCGGCCTGGAATTATCCGAGTAATAAACCCGGGGGGATGGGGGATGGGGGGGGGGAGTTTCGTCGTGGTGTTCGGAAGGCGTGGGGGGAAAGGGGAATTGGGGGGACGTGTGGGGGAGTGGTGAGTGTGTGGGGGGGGGGGGGTAAGTGTTTGTGTCTCGGCATTGCAGCGCTGTTTTTTGTTGACTGGGTCTTATTCTTCTTTCTTCTTGTTCTCTCTCCTCTCTCTCTCTCTCTCTCTTCTCTTCCTCTCTCTGTCAGTTTTATCTCTTCCTTCTATACTTTTCTCTCTCTCTCTTTTTCTTTCCCTCCCTCCCTACCTCCTATCCCCACCCCTTTCTCTCTCCTCCCCCTCTCTCCCCCCCCTCTCTCTCTCTTCCTCTCTCTTCTCTCTCTCTCCTCCTCTCTCTCCCCACCCTTTCTCTCCCTTTCCCTTTTTTCTCTCCTTTAATCCTATCTCTCCCTCAATTCCCACATATGACAGACCGACGCAGAAAAAAAGTTGCACACACATATGAGAAACACATACTTAATGTGACTTAAACGTACCCCTCGATAACCGACCCAACACACCCCCTCTCCCCACTTTACCGCCCGTCCATCACTCATCTAACCCCTCGCAAAACGACCATACCCCTACCCTGACATGAAATAGCATACTCAGAGAACTGTAAGTGAGGTGTGAACATGGTT